GGGAGTGTAGCCTTAGGAGTCAGATCTGGGCTTGACCCTGGCTCTCCAATTCACAGAGGGTAACCCTGGCATTTAATCACTGCTCTAAGCCTTTGTTTCTTACATACAAAATGGAGCCGTAATTACAGTGATATTCTTGTCGGTTAAATAAGATGGTGCATATAAGGAGTTTATTATGGCAGTTGGCTGTAAGTGATTGGGACATATTAGCTTTTATTATTGGTCTAGGAATAATAAGATTTGGGTCATGGTTTCATCACTTCCTAACTCCGCTTTGAGACCGATAAGTGGGACACAGACAAGAAACAGAGATAGTTCTTACATGCCATGCCTTGCTCCTCAATCTCTGCTATTTTGTTTTTCCATGAACCTGGGGTTACCTGGGTTGACTTTGGCCTACACTGCGCTTTTGCTGGCTTTCAAAGAGGTTTCTTTGGCATTAAGTCCTCAGCTTAGTATGTATGGCTTCTAGTGTCTGTTGGGAATTATTACTCAGTCTAAAGAGTTTCCTTTCCGTCTTATAGAAAAAACAATCCATTCAATATGTATTTATGAATACCCTCCTCATGGTAATGCCTGTTGTCTATGTTGGGATATGATTATTAACAAGATACATAGAGCGCCTGTCCTTGTGGAGTTTAAAGTTTGAGGCCAACCTCACCCGCCCGTTTTATTTATTTATTTATTTATTTATTTATTTTTATTTTTGAGTTGGAGTCTCACTCTGTTGCCCAGACTGGAGTGCAGTGGCCGCTCCCGGCCACCGCAGCCTCGAACTGCTGGGCTCCAGCAATCCTTCTGCCTTGGTCTTCCAAACAGCTGGAACTACAGGTGTGCACTATCACGCCCAGTTTATTTTTTAATTTATTGTAGAGACAAAGTCTCACCAAATTGCCCAGGCTGGTCTTGAACCCCTCAGCTCGGGCAATCCACTCCCCTCGGCCTCCCAAAGTGCTGGGATTACAGGCTTGAGTCACTGCACCCGGCCTGTTGCATATATTAAAGAAGTCACCTGGTCTAACAGGGAGAGGCATTGGTTTATTAAACTTATGAGAGGGCACCGAAGGTGGCAGGCCGGTGATGAAAGAATCCATACCTTGGGACAGTATAGTAAACAGTTTTAAAATCCATGAAGTTAATTATTCAAATTCCTATATGGAGTCTATAATCACATTGATTAAGAGTGCCGACGACGTTATCCTTATGTTGTTTGGTTACCTGGATTCTGTAACGGGCCACTTGTATTCCATGACTTACTGTTGGTAATGTGTGTATATTCTGTAGAGACTAGCCTTGGTCAGAGGCTGCTCCCTGGAGGAGGGGCAGAAGGGAGCCAAACACAGGGGGAACAAAGTTGACGTCCAGACATTCACCTCATTCCCACCCACCCTCCTTCCACTCCCACCGGCTTCATACCCCCAAAGTGCTCTCACTCCTGCCTCTGACTCAGCATCTGCTTCGTGGAGGATCTGAGACACAGTTTCTACAAAGGGTTTTCATACCGAGTGCTAAGTCTTGTGTTCCACACAGCAGCTCTTTTTCATCTCTGCGGTGCTAAAATAAAGTTTCCCAAAGCTCATCATAGAGCTGCAGCGAAAAGAAAAACAATGCTGGATGACACTTCCGGGGAGGACATCCAAAGTAAAACAAAGACAACAAAGAATGTCAAGGCTAGCTGCTCTTAGTCAGTGATCTTTTAAAAAAGCTTTTAATCCACTCATTTTCAAGGCCTTTGACTATTTCTTATAAAATCTACAACAATCTTCCCACACACATATCTGATTTCCATGGCCAGGAAAACAAAACGCAAGGTATGGGGCCAAGGAGACACAGCCCCGAGGGGGAGAGCAAGATGTGTACCTCACCATTGTTTTTTTCTTCCACTACCCTGCTTTTTTTTTTTTGGCCAAAGGGAATACGGGGTGTGGGCCAAGAACAGTTTAATCCGAGTTGTTCCTTTTAACCTTCAAACACTCTGCATAAGACTCCCTGGAGAAGAGGACCATCTCTACCCCAGGGCAGCTTGGGGCAGACATGTGACTAATTAATGCACAAAGCAGGCGGTTATTTCCCTTCATTAGAGTTTTCCCAGCTCTGGACTTGAAGTGCTACCTTCCTGCGAACCCCCACGTTTGTGTCTCCCTAACATCTTCAGCTGTGCGTTGATAGGTGCGGATATGCCAGCCTCTTCTCCTTCAATAGAAACTGTTACTGGAGGGTAGAATCTATAGTTTATGCATCTTTGTAAGCTTGTAACACTCAGTATGGTGTCTTGCACACAGAATATGACAAACAAATCCTTGTGAGCATGCAGAAGCAGTGCTAGGATAGTATATCTGCTGTTGACACCCAGTTTACAAGGGTGGTGGGTGGTACCAAATGGAGCAGAGCGCTTAATAGGGAAGAAAGGTTTCTGACCTACTATGCAGCTGAGTGGTGAGGCAGAAACCCTCATTCTCGGGGTCTAGTGAACAACCAACAATTCAGTAAGTGTGGACACCTGCTCAAGAAGTGTGGAGACATAAGGAAGGAGAATGATAGGACAGTAGCTTGACGGATGGCAGAATAAAGGCTTTCTAGTTTTTATTTATTTGTTTTTTTGTTGTTGTTTGTTTGTTTTTTGTTTTTTTTGAGTTGGAGTCTCACTCTGTCGCCCAGACTGGAGTGCAGTGGCTGCTCC